TCTTTCTGAAGGCTATCTATACTTTATACTCAATATATGTCCATGTACATACATACATACATACACATTAATGCCATTTAAAAATTTTATATGGAATTTCATAATTAGTGTGAAACTGCTTTTAGACTGTCTCCATGGATAGGCTGCTAACTGTTCAATATGCCGGAAGCATTATAAGAAACATTTAACTGCTGCTGTGAACAGCATCCTCAACTCCCTCTGTCTATTGTAATCTATAGTATGGGAACCAGGCCTCCTCAATGACATCTTCTTTGGAATTAGGCTGACAGCTCTCTCTGCAAGGCATCTATTTAGGATTCTGTTTTTCCTAAATAAGTCTAGACTGAAAAAGACAGAAAGATCTAGACAGAAACTCGGTTGTCCTACCTATCACGGGCTTTCTCCAAATAATTATTCCCTCAACAGAAAAAAAAATTGCTAATAAGCAAAAAGGCTTTGACTTTCAATGCAACAAAAAGGCCCAAAAAGATCATCCACCATTCCTCAAATTTGTCAACTTTAACATGTTTCCTTAATTTCATCCCACAAGAACAATACAGCCATTAGTACATCTTGCTTGAATGCCAAAGCATCTGAATGGCACTAACCTAAATTTTCTATATCCTTTATTACATCACATGTAATGCGGGGAAATTATTGAATGCACCAAAATAGACCATAATGTGATAAATAGGATATTCTCCCATGCAAGACAAGATGAATATTCCATATTTATTCTCAAAACATGAAGTTATTTGTACCAAATGTGTGTCATCTGTAAGCAAAAACAGATTCTGATTTAAGGTTAGTCTACGAATCCTGAATTGTTTGGGATGCTAGATCTGTACATCACATAAATCTCTTATCTGTGGGGTTCTTGGTGCACTGTGAGTTTGGCTGTTTTCTTGCAGTGCACTGATAATGTTACCTAGTTTGCTAATGAAACCAAGCTCAGGGAGCACCAAGAACCCCACAGTTCACCTTGGGAGAGTCTTCCAAATCTCTTATCTTGCCATTATAGCTACCACCTTGTGTATTACTCATTTCATAGTTTATTTAATCATAATTTATGGCATATTTTTCATTTAAAATTATGTACAAACGTGGCTATGAGACTGACTGCAGTTACGCAGATTGTTGCTATAGATCACTGTCATAAGACAAACACACATACGCACAAGTTAAGGATACAAAAAGAACAAAATTCTTCCCAAATTATTTCAAGTCTGAAGTTTTTTTATAAGATTAGAAAGAAAACAAATGATTAGTTTATAAAGAAGACAACAGCCAATTCGGTTATGGCAGCTAAGTTGTTCCCAAATGTTGAGGTTAAACAGAAATAAAAGATAAAAGTTTTACATGTAATGGGAATTAGATGCAATAGAGGGATTGATATTAGCATGTACATTTTAATGAGCATCAGTAATAGACAATCCTCAATTAGATTTCAAAATTCCTTTCTGCCTATGGCATCAGGAGATCTTACAAGGTCAACAAATGTTGCATAAAAATTGTACACTTGACATATATATGTTGAAAATATACTTATGTTTAATGGATGCAGCCAAAGTGATCATAAAGAATAGAGTGAACTGTTTATAAACCATCTGTTGTTTTGCAGTTGCCTCATTTCCCAGTATTTATTCTTTCGTTGAATAGGCTTTTTGCATAAAATTTAATCATTATTATAATGAGACAATGGATTCTATAATTTAAGGATGAATTTCTCTTATACCTTTTACAGAGTATATTGATATTCCAGAAATATGGTACTAGTTTAGGGACGTGGTGGCTCAGTGGCTAAGATGCTGAGCTTGTCGATTGAAAGGTCAGCAGTTTAGAGGTGCGAATCTCTAGTGCCACGTAACAGAGTGAGCTCTCGTTATGTGTCCCAGCTTCTGCCAACCTAGCAGTTTGAAAGCTTGTAAAAAATGCAAGTAGAAAAATAGGGACCACCTTTGGTGGGAAGGTAACAGCATTCCGTGCTCCTTTGGCGTTTAGTCATGCCAGCCACATGACCACAGAGACATCTTTGGACAGTGCTCTTCGGCTTTGAAATGGAGATAAGCACCGCCCCCTAGAGTCGGGAACAACTAGCACATATATGCGAGAGGAACCTTTACTTTTACCTTTTTATGATGTGATGGATTATGACAACAGCGTTTGTCTAGATTTCAGGATATAAATACAGCTATACCATATCTATACTATAGTACAGTGATGGTTAACCTTTTCGGCACCGAGTGCCAAAACTGGAGCGTGCATGCACGCGCCAGAGCACTAGAACCCAGAAGGGCAGCTAGCGACAGCGCATTTGCCCACAGAGAGGGCTCTGCGTGCCACCTCTGGCACACGTGCCATAGGTTCGCCATCATGGCTATAGTACATAGCTATAGTATATAGCTATACTATATCTAGCAGATATTTTTAATCTTTGTTTTTAAACCAACTGGGTTTTTTTTTTTTGTGAGACTAGCATAATTTTCAGAGCTTTATGTATATTTTTCATTATTACATTATACTGAATATTTTGCAACCTTTTTCCACTAATTCTACAAGCCATAACAATGGCACAGGGACTGGCTACTTGAAAGACTGCTTATATCCCATAGCATCTGCTCAACTGATTCCATCCTGCAGAGTTGGCGCACTCTGGATTCTTCACTTAAACAATGTCATCTACCAAGAAGTGTGCTTTCTTTGTAGCAGCACTTGCCCTCTAGAACAAGGTTTCCCCCAAGATTGGGAAAGCCCCCATTTTGCATTATTTAGAAGTCTACGAAAGACTCCAGGTCTTTGGCAATAGAGAGTGAAAGCCCTTGTTTCATCACACTTGCCATCTTTTATCTTTTTTATTGTAATTTCTTTGTTTGTTGTGAGCCACCCAGAGTCAGTGAGAGTTAGGTGACGTTCAAGATTAATAAAGTATTATTGAATTCATATTGTGGGGTCCTTGGTGTTCATTGAGCTTGATTGTTTTCCTACAGACATTTCACCCAACTAGGTACCATAATCAGTGCTGATGATGTTACTTAGTTGAGTAAAGAAACATTTGCAAGCCAAGCTCAGAATGCACCAAGGACTCCACAATTCAGCCCTTAGCTACATATATTCTACTCTATTGGTAAATTAAGTATTGTTAATGTGATTAAATACATTTAACAATTCTTTTTTTTTTAAAGTTTTTGACTATGGAATAAGCTTGGGCAGATTGGATAGGGAAGAATTAGGGTTAGGGCTGAAGAAAGTAGAAAGTTTTACCTATCTTCTGGCCATCATCCACAGTTGGATAAAAACATTGAGAGTATGATAATTGCCCTGATCTTTTTCCAGATTAACTTGTGATAACTTTGTTCATGCCTCTCTTCAGATTTATATTGACACTATAAATACACCTGAGAAGCTGGATGCCAACTTTATTGAATGGTTTTCCATACTTGCACAAGTCAAACCTATGTCTTTTGTCTGCTGCTCTAATCAGGAGTCACTAATCTTTTGGACTTCAGGGACCACTAAATTCATAAAATTAAAATTCCGCGGACCACTAATATGATCTGACTAATGATTGGCTGGGTGGGCGTGGCTAGGTGGTCATGTGACTGGGTCGGTCACTCACATTGAGGAACGCCTTGCTGGCCTATCCTTGCCCCTCCTTGCCTGCCCGTCTGGGCTCCTTAGTGCCCCTACAGGAAGCAGTTGCTGGAGCTAAGCCGCCACCATGAGAAAGACTTGGCAAAACAGCTCAGTTCAAATTGGATCTGACCGAGAAGGAGGCTCAGCAGAAGCACCTCACTGAGGACTACGAGCATAGGCTTTCCAAGCAGAGGGAAGACCTGCAGGAGTGCAAGGCCAGGTACTGGTGCCTGGAGGCTCAGCGAGCTAAGATGGTCAGCCAGTTCCAGGCCATGATGCAGTCCCACTGGAACAAGGCCCTCCGGCTCTTCACCACCACCAGCACTTCCCTTCAACCTTCAACCTTCGCCCAAAGCCCCATACCAGGAGGCTGAAGCAGGCCCCAAGTTGGAATTTCTGTCCCACTCCAACCCACACAAAAAGACCGCAAAGGGGGAGACTCTCTGCAGCAACATAACTGTTCATTGCATGTATCCGGCCAAGGGGCCGTAGTTTGAGGACCCCTGATTTAGTGCAATATAAAAAATGTAAATAATTTTTCTGCGGACCACCAAAATTTTCTCGCAGACCACCACTGGGCCACAGACCACCAGTTGGTGACCGCTGCTCTAAATCATAAGACAAAAACATTGAGACTCCCCACAAGCAAAATGGAGGATTGACCACAACTGAGAAAATTTGCAGACAGAAAAGCAGAAGAGCTGGATGTTCCCCTCTTCTTATTGTCTGATATATAGAAACGTTTGTGTGTGTGTGTGTGCATGAGTGAATGAGTGTGGTGATGAAGGGGTGGACAGATGGGAAACTCCAGAATTAGGGAAACCTCTGACTTCAGCCAAAGAAGTAACGGAAATTATTCTGCCCAAAAATCCTCAGGAAGGAAGAGGAAGAGAGGGATAAAAACAGCTGAAAGGAGCCATGTTTATCATTTCTTATAGCTCAAAAAAGAAAAGAGCACAATGCCTTCCAGTTTCTCATGAAAATAGATGATGCTGGGACATCCTGGTTCAAGGAGGAAGGAAAGATGAAAATGGGCAGTCAGGTGGTACAAGATCTGAGTCCCCCAAAATCCTGCTGTTAGGTAGCTACAGGGACGGGAGGGTTGATGTCCAAGAATCTGAACTTTTGAATTAAGCCATGCCTACAATATGTGAAATCTCAGAGGAGACCTGTTGAGCTGGGTTATTCAAAGGAAACCTAGCCTAACATGTTCCTTTATTAAGCAAATAAAGGTAGTATGTTGCCATAGGAACAAAACTCTCAGGCAACTGCTTTCTGGCAGTTTTGAGTGTTCTGAACTGATATAACCATCATTAGAAATGTCAGACAGCGTTGCGGCCCTAAGATGTTATACTGTTGTGTGAAATCATACCAACCCTATGTGGGTTGGGAGAGCCCTAGAACAATAGCATATGCTTTCATCTTGCACATGGCAATATGCTTGCTGTCTTTGAAAACTGTCCAAAAGCTTCATCTAGAATGCACTGGACCAGTAATCAGCTGCCACCACCAATTTTTACCCCTGTGTTCCAATCCCCACAATGGCTTCCAGTTAGCGTTCAAGTTCAATTTAAGATGCTAATTGTTATCTAAACAGGCTTCTCTGGCTTTCCCCTGAAGCTTCTTCGTAACCACTCTCCCCAACTGCAATCGATATTGACTCCCGACTTGACTTTTTCATCCCAGATGAAACTGCGAGGATGAAGAAACTGCCAAAAGTTTCTGCAATGTACATGCCATGGAGGTTGGTAAATACTACTTTCTGATAGAGATATCTATCTTTCAAATAGTATTCTGGAGTTCTGGCCTTCCAGAAATTAGTGAAAGAGAGCTGTTCTGAATAGCTTACGGTGATGCATGACACCTATAAAAAATAACTGCCCAATAGGTCTGGCCTTTATACTTTTATAAATATATAATTTAATTTGTTTTATTGTGGATATTTTATTTGTTATGTTTCATTCCTGTAAACTACCACTGGTGGCACAATGGTGAGAATGCAATATTGCAGGCAAACTCTGTCCATAGCCTAAATTTGATCCTGACGGGGCTCAAGGTTGACTCAGCCTTATGTACTTCTGACAATGGTAAAATGAGGACCCAGATCAGGGGTGCTATTCAGAAGGTTCTGATAGGTTCTGGAGAACTGGTGGCGGAAATTTTGAGTAGTTCAGAGAACCAGCAAATACCTGGCCCCAGAGCGGGGTGGGAATGGAGATTTTGCAATATCCTTCCCCTAGGAGTGGGGAGGGAATGGGGATTTTGCAGTATCCTTCCCCTGGAGTGGGGTGGGAATGGAGAGTTTGCAGTATCCTTCCCCTGCCATGCCCACCAAGCCACGCCCACCAAGCCACACCATGCCCACCAAGCCACTCCCAAAGAACCATAGTAAAAAAATTTGAATTCCACCACTGACCCAGATTGTTGGGACAAGATGCTGACATTGTAAATCGCCCAGAGTGCTGTAAAACACTATAGGGCGGTATTTAAGTCTAAGTGATATTGCTATTGCTAATAGGGTTATGGTTGCAGCAGGTAGAAAACAAATAAATGAGGAGGGGACCGGAAAAGAAGAGGTAGAACATTTAGGGTTTCAGGAAACAAAAAGATAATTCTCCTTAAAATAATTCTCTTTTACTCTTCTAGTAAAGCTAGAAGATAGAAAACCCCCAAAGTGCCATGGGGCATAACTCCAGGGGTCTGCATCTAATGGAAAGAATTGGCAAAAATTAAAGAGTTTTAGTTATGCTTTTTGCCTAGGTCACCATTAAAGCTTCATATAGAAATTTAAAACAATAAAGAATGCATTTGCATATACTATTCTGCTGCATACTATATATGATAAAGTCATGCTGCCCTAAAAGGGCAATATTAATAATAGTTTGGAATATGTAATTTGTAATTTAGGGATCCTAAACTCTAAACCTCAACCTTTGGTTATTACTCATTTTGCAGATAGTAAACTGATAGTGATCTTCCAATAAGTAGATGAATTAGCAAGAAAATATAATCCAGTAGTAAAATGTCATTCTACTATTACAAGTGCTGTACTTCCATTCCTTTTATTCCTTTTATCCATTTTAAAGGGAGCTGCAAATTTTAATAAAATTAATCTAAATGTTAGTAAGTGCTGCCTCTTTAGGTTTTGGACTGCATTTTTAAAATCAGATTTTCAGACAAGAGAACACTGTGCACAATTACTGTATACGGAGCTACCCGATTCCTGGAAATTTGCCAAACCATTATTAATTTAGTGTAATGCCTTTTGCTGAAAAAAAGTACAGGATTACACTGGAAAAAGATATGCAAAAGGCTCTTTAAAGTCACGTTTAGAAACCCACTTAGGGAAAGGATCGTTTTCAAGTATTAGAACAGAATGCTATTTAAAAATGTTATATTTAACATACAGAGTACACTTATACAGATATTGGTTTTTTTTTATTAGGTTGTTGATAGAAAGTTAATATAATGCATTTTCTGTGTAACTCCTGTTATTTTAGTTTCTATTGCAATTCTACTTCCATATTTTGTATATTAAGATTTGAGAAGTTCATGGAGCAATACACACAGCACATTACCTTTTCCATTTTCTTTTCTTTTGAAGAAGGAAGACCAGTATTAGGTGTTTCTTAATGTGCTGTTCTTATTTAGCTCTTATTTAAAAGCACAGCTTTTACCACCCATCCTCACCCTCTCCTCCAAAGGCTGAAATACATACCTTAGAAAAAGCCTGTGCTATTTTTGTCAATATTTTTCGTTTTGTGCTACTTTCAAAGGCATAGATGACTCATAAGAGGTCTGCCTTGCTGTTAGATGTTAGCAACAATGCTTTCCTTACATCAGTAAACATCTACCATATTTTTAAATTAGTCATCCAAACATGAGTTGCCAAAAATTCTTGAGTACAGAAGGGCACAGTTAATGCTCTTTCAATGCAATAGGACACATGAATTTGTCCACTAGTTACAGCAGAGATACCGAAAGTTTCCACAGATTAAATATATAGAGTTGGTGTTCTGTGATTATGATTCATGCAATATTTTCTCTTATGAAATAAAATTAGCATAACCTTTCATAGATTCTGAATATATGTATGTAGGAGAAAATATTCACTTGGTAATATATATATTATTGAAATTGTAAGTGGGCAGAGGTTAAGCTTACAGAATCGACTTTTCACCTCACTAAAGTCCTGTTTACTGAGGTGTTCGGAATTTTCTCTCCTCGTATCATTTCTGCTGGAAGTCAAAAACTCTGTTGATCTACTTGGGCTGGCTCTCCTCTTGACTGTGAAGGACAGTGATTGATTTTGGGTCTTTTACTCTCTTGCAACCCAATGTACCTCATGCTGTTTTTATCAGGCTTGTGCAAAAATCACCATTTCAGGAATATGCCAATTTTCCTTAAACAATGTCTTTTTCTCCTGGAATTAAAGCCATTACATAAATAAATGAATTGCTTGGTTTCAAGGGTATCTTGTTCCTCTTAATAAAATACATTTAATGTTGGGTTTGTTAAATCCAAGGGCACGCCTAAATTTTTGGGTCCAACAGATTGTCATATATAAAATCTTTTTTCTCAGGTTACTTATAGCCTGGGCAAATTTGAGCTAAATTATGAATACAAGTCAGTCTCTGATCCTGTTAATAAAATATATTTTCATTGTTTAGTTTTGAATGGCAACTTAATGAATGCAGTCATACAAATGGAAAGAAAAAGGAAGGGATGGATTAAATATTAGGAGAAAATGTTGATAAACTGCATTCTAACCACTGTGCCACAATGGCTCTGGTACTTATTCCAGTTTATCAATTTAACATTCATTAAATTGCCATTCCTGGGTTGTAGAGTGAATAATAACAGTAATATTCATAGCAATAGGAATATTTGATCATTGAGTATTACTGATATTTGAAAAAGTGCAAATACTTAGTTGGATGAATACATAATACTACTTCAATCTCAACAACAGAACATCACATGTATAATACCCACAGAGACACACCAATCAACAATGAGTGCAATAACTAGATTTGTATGTATGATTGTGTCCCGTTTTTTATCTTTATTGTTGAAAACTGTAATTCAACAATTGTAATTTTAGTAAAACACTAGGTGGAGCCAGTCTCTCAAGGCTGAATTTGAAATAGTCTTCAAAATAACTTTAAAAACTACACTCTTATCTAATAATCATTACGAATTATTATCTGTACCAGTTGTTAAATGTTTAACCACCAGTTTCACCTACCTTAGCCTCCAAATACTATCATAAATGTCAGATAAAAGTAAAATAAAATGTTCTGTATGGAAATTCACATTTTCCTTCAGTAGCTTTTATAAAAAGGAACAGCAAGTATTTAGCATATGTGGTTTTGAAGTGCCATATGATGAAAATACAAAAGTGAAAAAGTTATACAAGTGAATTAAATAAGATGGATATTTATAGAACTGACAACACACTGAACTACCAAGGCAACAACTCACTCTTTTCCAACCCAGTCTCTGAATATTTAAAAAAAGAAGGCAATGATAACTCTATCAGGGCAATATTACTTCATTTGGCATCAATCATAGCATCATAAGCCCATTATACAATGGGAAAATTACAAAAGCAGAAGGGAACTCCTTGGATGATTATGAATACATTTCATGTGAACAATGCAACTCCCCTTGTTACTCTCTGATTAATCAAATTTATTTATTTTATTTTATTTTATTATTCATATTTCTATGCCGCCCACTCTCCAAGGACTCTGGGCGGCTTACACCAAAGACAGTATACTAAATAGCATATTGCCCCCAACAATCTGGGTCCTCATTTTACCCACCTCGGAAGGATGGAAGACTGAGTCAACCTTGAGCGGGTGAGATTTGATCCACTGATCTGCTGAACTAGCAGTCAGCTGAAGTAGCTGCAGTACTGCATCCTAACCACTCCGCCACCTCGGCTCATATTCAAATATTCAAATTCAAATTCCCTCCCATCAACTCTGGGATGTGGAAATATGAAACAATATCAGAACTAATACTATGAAATGTAAAAAAAAAATGTTATATTGAAAAATAACCATATGTTCATTCATTCACCTGAAGAAACCAGTCTGCATTCACAGATATATGTGAGTAGTTTAGACAAATAGATGTGTAATTCAGAGTTGCTATTTGGCTGTCTCACAATATACTTTCTGTGATATAATAGCAATAGCACGGAGACTTATATACCATTTCACAGTGCTTTACAGCATTCTCTAAGCAGTTTACAGAGTCAACATATTGCCCCCAACAATCTAGGTCCTCATTTTACCAATCTTGGAAGAATGGAAGGCTGAGTCAACCTTGAGCCGGTGAGGATCAAACTGCTGGCAGTCAGCAGAATTAGCCTGCAACACTGCATTCTAATCACTGCACCACCATAGACAATAAAGACAATAAATAATATATAAATTTTACTTTCTCAAAAGAGATTTTATTTATGGCTACTGGTAACTCTTCTTATCCAAAAATAAATTAACCCCCTCCTCCCCCCCTAAAAAATATAGGCAAAGCATGCAGAACATAGTTTCTAGAATTCTTTCCATTCCCTTTACCAGCCGTGGCCACCGGAGGCATTTGAATCATTAAAAAGCTGCATATTGTGGCCATGTGTTTCTCGGGGTATATGTGCAATGGAAATCACAGAGCATACACACCATTCTGGATCGTCATATAATCAGGAGAACTACTCTTCAACTGCATCTCCCATAG